ACTGACTCTAAATTTCTAAAAAATGCTGAAAAGTTAAAATAAGTCAGCATTCAATGTTTTAATTATACATAAGACAGTCCTCAAATTTGAACAAGTAATATTTCAAAAGAATTTATGATCAAAGAAATTGGAGTTTTGGCCTACCCATTTAACCACCCTGGGGCAAGTTATGTAACTTTCAAGCCTCATATTCTTCACTGGTAAAAATGGGGATAATACCACCTGCTTTGCAAGTTTATTGAGAGGATTAAACAAAACATTAAAAAGATGACAAGGGACATGGTTGATGCCCAGTAATTATCTTCTTTTTCCCATGGAAACAATGTCATACATAATACACATGCTGGGTCAGCAGTTTTCAGATTAGCTAAACAAAATGCTATTTAACTCTCACATACTTAGGTACAGAGCCAATTGAACTCAATCAGCATTCAGTGAATATTTACAGATCCACGCACTGTTCTAAGAGTGAGCAAGACAGGCTTGCTTCCCACTGGTTAGGGTTCAGTGAAAGTGACAAGTAAGCAAGTAAGATGCATAGTATGAACTATGATAAAGTGAGCCCTGGGTGCTATTAAAAGGAGCCCTGGTGGCACACTGGTTAAGAGCTCAGCTGCTAAACAAAAGGTTGGCAGTTCGAACCCACCAGCCACTCCATGGGAAAAAGATGTTGTCTGCTTCCATCAAGACTACAGCCTTGGAAACCCTATGGGGCAGGTCTACCCTGTCCTATAGGGTTGTTATGAGTTGGAATCGACTCGACGGCAATGGGTGTTTTATGTTTTGTTGTTGTAGTTGTTGCTGTTGTTTTGGAGGGGTGTAATTAAAAGGGTAGCTATCATAGGGTTGAGGATAAGGAAACGGGACAAGTAAAAAAACCTCCTTTCCATATGTATCATCCAGCTTCTCAATATTGCTTTAAAGAACCTGGGGCAGAGGTTCTAGAATGGGGACTTAGATGGCATTTGACAGCAGAGGGTATGAAAGGACAGAAAAGGAAATGGGAACGTCTAGGCAAGGCCATTATTGAGAAAACTAATGAAAGTCATATCTGCAGGGCAACCGGGTGAGGGATGAAGGACTAGAGGAGTTCACACATGGAAGAACACTATGGGAGTTCTCTCCCCTTGCCTCAGGGTCACTCCCAGAACTGCCATGGCAGCTTGGATTGGCAAGGGAGGAAGGAAAAGAAGCAAAAACCACCAGAGAAGTGGTGAGGAGAAGAGACAGAAACAAAACCTCAAGCTCAGCATTGGGGATGGAAAGAAAATCTCTGTGGAAAGGAAATTTAAAGATTTTAAATAAGGACATATTAAATTCAGGACTGCTTTTCCTGCTTTATGGCATAAACCACCTTATTACCACATGACTGTGACAGACTCCTAACCAGTCTCTACCTCTACACTTTGCCTCCTTAAAATTAACCCTATGTACACCACAGTGCTGGCATTCGTAAAGCATACCTTAATATTGTAATGTTCACAGTAAAGAACCTACAAGAACTCTAAGTTACCTGCTGGATCAAGCTCAGACTCTCAGTCTAGTAGTCAAGGCATCAAATGTAATTCAAGTGAGCAAAAACTTTGCCAACTATGTGGAAACTTGTCCCTGCGGAAGCCGCAAAGAATACTAGTAAAGAGCAAAGACGTCAACATATGGAACAAGGAAGAATTCAGTGAGTGAAACTTTCAAGGGAGAAAAGTTCAGTTCTAACTAGGAGGAGGTGGTATCTTGATTCATGAAGGAAGTGACCCCTCCCAGGCTTTGAGGGAAAGTAGGACTTCAAAAGGCAGAGATGGGTGAAATGATCATTTCTAAATGGGGCAGCCAGAAGAGCTGATGTAGAGACATGATGTGTTCAAGAAAAAGCTAACAGTCTCATGTGGCTGGACCTCTCTCTTCCTATCTCTTTCCCACAACATGGCATTGTGGTTGTGTGGGTGATCTTGAGTCAGGCCACCTGGGTTCAAGTCCAGGCTCCACTACTCAGTACCCTGCAGGACCTTGGACAAGTAACATAATCACTCCATGCCACAGTTTTCACAACTATACAATTGGGATCATAATGATAGTGCTGATTTCATAGAGTTACTGCTTAACTGAGATAATACAGGCAATGCACACCAGCATGGCACATGGTAAGAACTCAATAAACATTAGCTATTACTGCACTACAGATGGAGTTTGGGGCCAGTCATCAGGGACCTCAGTGCTGCTCTGAGTGCTTTGGACTTCATTCACTAGACCACAGAGTGCCACTGGGGGCTTCTGAGCAGAAAATTTACCGAGTCTGGCCTGGCATCAGGAGCCCTGGGGGTGCAGTTCTACTACAGGGCAATTCGCTATGAGTTGGAATCGACTCAGTGATAATGGCAGTGGTTTTTGGTTTCAGCCTGGCATCAGGCAGGTTAATCTGGTGCTGGCCTTGTGTAGAATGCACAAATACATACAACTATTTACAAAACAGGAGCCCTGGTAGTGCAGTGGTTAAGCGCTCAGCTGCTAACCAAAAGGTCAGCAGTTTGAACCCACCAGCTATTCCATGGGAGAATGATGTGGCAGTCTGCTTCCGTAAAGATTACAGCCTTTGAAACCCTATGGAGCAGTTCAACTCCATCCTATGGGGTCGCTATGAGTCAGAATTGACTTAATGGCAATGGTTATTTATAAAACATTCGCACTGATGAGGGAAAGGGCCTGAATTAAATAAAGTAATGAAAGCAAGAACAGAAAGGAGCCAATTTAAGGGAGACTCGAGGTAGAAATGAAAGGCTATTATCAACAAAACTACAAGGTAAGAAAGAAAAAGAGGAACTGAAGAATACCAACACATCTAGATGCTCAACAAAACACTATATTTAATTGTGGTAGTCTCTGAACTAGAATGATTAAGTTGAACAAGAGTTTGGGGAAGCATTGCATAGTACCATTTACATATTGCTCCTCAGCTGTTTTATGAAATCACATCTTTTCTCCCAAGTCAGCAAGTTCCTTCTCAGAGAGGAAGACAGGCGTGATGCTACATAAGCTACTTTCCTAGCAGCACAGAAATGGACACACCAAGCATCTCAGAGACAGGCACGTCGCCATATGAAACACATACACGTTCAAGAATTCCATGGGTTTCATTTGTTAAATAAGCCTAATTTTGCTTGGTGGAATACATTTCAAGTTTGGTGACAAAGGAGCATAAATCCATAAATGATGAAACCTGAAACCATGCCATGTTAATTTAGGTCCCCTATGCGTTAACAACCTGGAGCACACCCACTCACCACACTTAGCCTGTTTCCTAATCCATGGATGTAGCTAGTCTGCTGCTACCCTGTGGGAGGTACCACCACCGAGCAAATGATCCATTAATCAGGCTGCTTTGCTGAATCTGCTACTTGAAAAGTTGAAGGCAAACACTCAAGACCATAAAACAAGAGACACCTTGCTTCTGTTTTTATTACTTATCCACTGGTATCTCACATTTCTCATCTATAAGGTAGGCTATTGTTCTCGTCAATTAAAATGTATGATGCTAATTTTACATTTCCATTCTTTAAAAATCAATAAAATAAACTACACCTAATGATTTTAGCAAGCTGAAGAAATATCCTTAGAAATATGTTTGTTAACATACGTAGGAAAAATAAATATACATAACCGTTAATTAATGATTATTTCCAAATGATGGGATTACCAGTGATTTTTATTTTATTCTTTATACTTTGCTGCATTTGTAAATTATCTTAATAACATAAACTAAAAAAATGAAACCAGTTGCCATCAAGTCAATTCTGACTCATAGCAACCCTAAAGGACAGAGTAGAATTGCCCCATAGGGCTTCCAAGGAGTGGCTGGGGGATTCAAACTGCTGACATTTTGGTTAGCAGCCAAGCTCTTAACCACTGCACTACCAGGGCTCCTTCTTAATAATACAGTACCTTATAATCACAGGAGGGAAAAGAGTTTAAGCATTTAAAACTTGCCTGTACAAATAAAAATCTAATTATATAAAGAAATAATGCTACATCAAATTATTTCACATAAAGCTATTTTATTAGTATAATTTAGGCCAAGTTATGTACTTGATCTTTTGCTTTGGAGAGCAAATATACTCTAGTAAGGCAACATGGAATACTAGGCCAAGCCAAAGAACCACAAAAGCTCCTCCATACTAAGGACCGCAAATAACTATCAAATTGCTTAGCAGGGGTTTTCCTAAACAGGAAAAGCGGTCTGTTTGCTTGAGAACTAATGACTTTCCAGCCTGGATGTAAAACACACTGAAAGAAACTCATTACCTAATAATTCTCTTAAAAGTCATCTATTGGGGTTTTAAGTAGAGTCTATGAGGAAAAACTACAAACACCCACAATCATTCTTCACCTAAGTACATATTTCGTTTGAACTCCAAATGTTGGGGAATATAATTGTCAAACTGTAACTAAGCTTGAAATATTCCCATTAAGGGACAAGAAGTGTTCTAAAATTCCAGACATTCTAAAGTATAAATGAGTATTAGAAGTCATTAGAAGGTTAACATGGTAGGGAAAAAAATGTCATGTTTCTAGAGGCCAAACCTATCATATTTGTCTGTTTCTCCATGTGGCCTGTTCATTTCCCCAAGAAGGTGCTTTTATCACACACATATATACTAGACCTGCATCTGAAACCTTCCAAGTGACTCCTACACTTGGAACCTGTGCTGCCAAGCACTAGCTGCGTGAGGCAACAGCTACTGAAATGTGGTGCAGAGAGAAGTCAGTCAAACCCCAAGGAAATTGGTACCTAAAGTCTCTATACACACTTTTTACAAGGGTTATTCTAGACCCATAAACTTAGAATTTGAAGAAACCTATTTCCTCCGAGATCTGTTAAAAATAAAATGCAGTATCATTTTCCATATCATCAGCCCAGTCCCTAATGCGGAGAGGTTAGAAATGTGGTTTCCAGATTTAAATACTAATGTTTCTGAGCAGTAGATGATAAAGACCCTTCCCAAGCACACCTGTGATCCCGAGACCTCTGTTTGTGATGAGCTTTTCCCTTCTCCAGATTCAGACATTAAATCCAGGCCAGATGTTGAAGACAATTCAGCTTTAGACATGTCAGTCTGGTCCTCAGAGAGAGATGAGAAGAGGGGTGTAGGAGAGGGCAGTCTCACCCCTTTTCTCGCTGCTGCCTCTTTCTCACTCAAGCTGGAAGGAAGCTCGCTTGCGCCTGGTTTCTCAACAGAGGTGTTCTGAGTTCTCTTAATGCCTTCTACTTCTCCACTGTACTTCCAAGCATCATCCATCTAAACAGGAAACACCAGTTTAAATTTGAAATTCTATTAGCTTCTTTTCTGTTTAAAGTAACATACACCTCCCACAGCGAAGAAACTATTGCTAAAAGCCGAGAGGGCATTCATTCACCACAACAGATATATTCATTTGTAGTAAGAGGAGTTGTTTTTACAAAAGTGTTCACATTATATACAGGCTTCTGAAACTTGCTTTGCATGTTTAAAAATTAATCTAAACATCATTCCAGGTCATAGACCAGTCTTTTTAATTACTGGATACTCTATAATATGGATATCAACATTTGATTCATTTGCTGAGCATTCGAAGTTGTTTAAAGTTTTCTATAACTACCAAAAATACTGCAACAAACACCCATATAGTTTTACAATCTGAATTTTCATTTTTATAGCAGTTTCCCAAAAAGTCGAATTGCCATACAATAAAAAAATTTAAAAAAGGAGACTTGCCAGGTCAAAGGTTATGCATATCACGTAGCAATTCACACTCCCAAAGCAAGGTATAAAAGTGCCCGTTTTCCTGCTTCCTCGCCAGCAGCAGACATTATAACTGTTTTTGAGCGTTGCCAGTCTGATGAGTGAAAAGGTGTACACCTCCTTCTTGCTCCAATGAGGCTGAACATGTTTCTAGGTACTCTGTATTATCAGCATTTAAATTTCCTCTCCTTCAAATTGGCTGTTTTCTCTGTCCATTTTTCTAGTGTTTATATTTTCTTTACCATGTTGAAGGAGTATTTTAAATCTTAGGGATATCAACCCTTTAGCTCTAATATATTTTGCTAATATTTTTCTGAGTCTATATATTGTTTTTTGATTATGTTAATGGTACCTGCCATATAAATTTAATTTTTATATTGTCCAAACCAAAAACCAAACCCATTGCCATCAAGTCGATTCCAACTCATAGCAACCCTATAGGACAGAGTAGAACTGCCCCTTAGGGTTTCCAAGGAGCAGCTGGTGGATTTGAACTGCCAACCTTTTTGTTAGCAGCTGAGCTCTTAACCGCTACACCACCAGGGCTCCCTATGTTGTCCAACATGTCTATATTTTCTTCATGGTCAAGGCTTCCTGGCTAGTTCAGTCAGGCTTCCCCCACTTCAGATATTCTATTTTTCCTTTTTTAGACTTTAGGATTGTACACTGGCAGGTCTAAAAGGAATGTGCTCACTGATCTTCTTAAGACTATGTTGTTCTCTTTAACATAATTCAGATTAACAGACCCACTGTCAGGTATGTGGTGCTGTTTCGTTCTCAGGGCAAATACTTCAATATTCTATACCCCTCAAAATCCCAATATAAATATATACATTTGGACATTTTCGTAAGTATATTCAAAGCTATCAAGTTCTAATGAAGTGGTAAATCTGGAAAATAGAAATTTTTACCTAAGCACTTGAAAATACTTAGGTTAAACTACATGAAATTACTGTTTTGGAGGTCAAAAAGAACTTACTACTGGAACTTCCTTTTGTTAAAACTAACACTTTACAAGAGCTATATTTGAAAAAATATGGCACTAAAAAAAAATACATGCTTTGCCTTAGAATCGGTCTTATTGTTTAAAATATAGCGGCCTGCATTTACAGAATTTAAAGTTTACTCAATTCTGCATCATTATATTTTAAACATGAAATTTCTACTGATTTTAAATAGCCTAAAACACAACTGTTTATGTAAGTTATGTATATTTTACACATTGAGTACAGAGAAACTGAACCTCCGCACAAGTTCACCAACATTTTACTCTTCAACACGCACTAAATAAACTGCAAATGCTTTTACCGTATAGGATCTGGGGAGTGATGAGATTCCCCTTGACTGAGAGCCAAAAGGTCTCGGTGTGACCACAGATGTTAACCTAGCTGTATCAGTTTTCTGGTAACTTCTAGGGAGAGAAGCTGAAACCCGAGTGGACTCCACTGGTGTACTCCGTGAATGCTGAGAAGACAAAGAGACTGGGCGTTGCTCTTCTGCAAGGCTTTTGGAAGGAAACTGAATTTCAGCTGTTACATAGTCCTCTCTTTTTGCAAAAGTTGTAGAACCTTCTTTAGAAACCTCTGTAGGATAAGTTGTTCGCTTTTCTTCCACTCTCTCACTCTGGGAACTTGCTTCTGACATAGTCAATGTAGGGGACAGCTCTTCTTCATTCAATACATCATCATCAGAATATATTCTCCTCCTGGGTGTCATTCTTCTCTGCTGATCACTGGTAGACATTTGATTTTGGGACTCCCTTAGCAGAAAGAAACACACCACAACCACAATGTTATGCACTTGGCACGTAGAGGTGGACAGAGGTCATTTTGCTAATTAGCATATAGAACAGACTAGGAATAGAAAGACCATCAACCTCACACAATCATCAATACAACACTAACAAAATATGAAGATTAATATACACAATTTTATTTTTATGCCACAACAAGTAAGAACTTAACTTTAGTTGAAAACAGTCTCTCAAATGCTTCACAGGGATGTTATTTTTTAAATCATAAGAAGATTTTAATTTTAATAAGGAAATTTAATGAGGGATAATTCACAGAATTTTATCTACAAGTTTATAACTTTTACAGAATTAAAAGACCATAAATATAACTCATTGTCTAACAGCCAGTTTGAACTCTGAAAATATGAATTCTTTGACAGTGCTGTGTGCTTTTTTCTTGAATGCTTTTTTTTTTTTTTAATGTAATAAAAGAACACAAGATGCAGGCTTCTGTTAAGATCAAGTTAGTACAGTATATGATTTCATACAGGTTGATAGAACTTCCATGGAAAATTATTACTGATTAACAGTTATCATTCATATTTATAGAGAAGTTTATAAAACATTCTCATCTCTAGCACTTGTACGGCATGCTTACCTCTCACGCTAACTGTGTTGCTTTTAAGTAAATGAAACTGTGCCTATCATTGGCTTCTGGGGTACAAAGAAGTTTTGTTTAGTTTCACCTGACAGCCTATTTCCTTTTTGACATTATTCTTAAGGCATATGTTTGCCTTCTCCCTGATCTGTAAACATCCCAAGTTTCCACACAGTAACTGCTTTACAGGAAAGCATGAACTGGATCTTTATCCTGTTATTTTGCAATGCAAAAAAAAAAAAACACACACACACACAACCCACACATTTATGTTTATATAGACTTCCTTTAAAATATCATCTGAATTGCACCACCAAAGCATGAAAAAGGATTTTGTTATATTCTATACAATTTAGTTAAAAATTGGGACCCGCTTTCATTTGACCATTCCACTCCTAAATTCACCTTAAGAAGGGAAAATGTAGTTTATCTTCAGCATCAAATATAGCTAACACTATACAGTTCTTCATGTGAATGCACAAAGTAAAATGAAGAAATAACGCACATTCATGTTAAGCACTATTTCTTTCATTAATCCAAGTCACTATTAGAGCAATGCTTTCTTTGCTTTTTCACTGCCGAGCAATATGTCCAGTGTTTCACTACATATTTGATTACAGGTTAAATATTAGTGAACACGTATCATACTACACTTACACAAAATATCTATTTCTGACACTGGTACCTCCGCCTATGAAATGCAATTCATCTTAATTACCTGTCCTGCAGCATTTCCTTAAACGTCTTAGAGCTTCTCTCGGACTTCTCAAGTGCATGCTTTTCAATTTCTTCCCTCTCTTCCTTTTTCTTCTGCAGATCCAAAGTGTAGCTTTTTCGACGATCTTTCCATTTTGCAAGGTCCTGACAGAAAATCACATCAGCACAAGCATACCTGAACTTCTATAAACCCTTTCTAGCAGCGAGAGAGGGCTGTGTATCCCATTACATCCCTGAAACTATTCACTCCAACTTGATGCCACAGTGCCCTAATTTTGCTTTTTATAGCCAGCGTTTCTGTACTAGGCCTTTATCTCATGTGTCTGTCTGAAAAACCTGACCTAATAAGATAGATCCCATTTTTGTTTTCCCAGAAAGTGTTTGCCTCGCTGCCCATTTCACAAAGAATGTTAAATGTTTGTAATTAGGTGCCAGGTCAGAAAGATCAGTAACCACTCAACTTCATTTTCATCTGACTCCAAAAATCCGGCTGTTATGTGAAATAACATGTTTCACTAGTAAAACTGAAACAGAAATCTGATTGTAATGGTTAAGCATAGATGCAGTCTTTCACTTAACAAACACAAGCGCAGTGGCTACTTTGAGGCAAAGCCCAATGCTGAGACACAGATGAATAAGATGTGGTTCCCCCCAAGGAGCTCTCACTCTAGAAGGCAGAGACAGGCATGTAAATAGAAGTTCAATAAGTGTGATATGATCACATGGGAGAGTGGGGGTCCAAAGTTCCAGTCCACCTCCAGAAGGGGAAGACAGGTCTGGAAAGGCTTTACTGTGGAGGCAAGACTCAAGAATGGATTTCAAAGAAGGTAAACTCCACATAGGTCATGGCAATAAAGAAGCTCACACAGGAGCAAGCTGACACCTGTTTCCCATACCCCTAGAACAGAAGTCTAGCCTAGCTGGGTGACCCCAGGGCAATCAACCTAGTTCAGTACTTAAATTACCCCTAGTTCTGACAACCAGGGGTTCAAGACATTTTGGAAGGTCCAAACTTCTCTGTCTCCAAAATGGAGAAATGTGTGCTAGGAACAGGTAGTGGCTGGCATTCCAGCTCAAATAAAGGCACATTCAATGTCTCAGACTGAACAGATCCTCACCCACAGAGAATGTAAAGTAAATTTGGTTTATATTCTTTGAGAGCAGACAGGGCCACTCCTGCGTAACTTCCCGACACCAATATGAACTATTTCCAGAAAGAAAAAAAGTAGTATGCATTTAGTCCTATAAGGTCACCAGCATAAATTTTCATCTGACTTAACCTAATGGATAAGTCCCTCAATACTTGTAATTCTGTATCAAAATATTCACCACAGATTTTGGCCAAGTGACACTGAATTACTGTTTCTCGACAATTAAACTGAGTTCTCAGTTAAAACAGGCACTGGAATTTAGAAATGCAGCCAAGGCAGGGGTTTCTACTTCATTTAATCGACTTTCATTCCTTTTGAAAAAACAAAGATTTACTATGGCTAGCCCTTTTGTTCATGCTACCAAATAACCCCTCTTAGCATAAATTTGTCCTCAAACGTCTTTGGGTTTGCTCTTATATAGCTTATCTTTCTTTATAATCCTTCAGTTTATAGAAACTACCCTTTTCAAAAAAGGCCAAGCTTTTGTAGGGTCAAAACTAAAGGTTATCTCTACATCCACAGAGACATCTGGATATGTCAGCTCTGTGAATACGTCTAATTTTGATTCATTCATATTACATAATGATGTTTCAGCCTAAACAGTCCTCAGGAATATATTTATTCCTCCCCAGATACCTTCTATTAACTCTGAAGAACCCCTTTCATCTCTCCCTGCTAACTTCAGTACTCTGTCCTGGACCCCCTGCTCCTCTTCTGGGCCAAACCTTGAGCAAGGTCTTTTTTCTCTCACAGGTATAATTAATAGTTGTGCCCCAAATTCAACTATGAAATTAATCTAAAAAATTAACTATACTGCAAGAAACTTATTTCACATTTTTGAGAATTCACAGAAACTATCACGAGGAAAGGATAAACATCCTATCATGTTAACAGTGGCCTTTAAAATTTAACAGTAATAGGCTCAAAGAGTTTAAAAATCTTTTAAAAGGAAGTTGGTCACATTATTCTACCAAGTAACCGAATGCAGTAACATCAAAAAAAAAAAAAATCTCTTGAGAACGACGACTTTCTTTTAAGAGAAGCAATGGGAAGTCAAACAAATGTACTCTCCTCCCTCTACTCACGTCTTGCCATTTCTGATCTTGTTCATTTAATCGTGATTTTATTTTCTGCATCTCCTCGTAACGCATCTTACGCAAGTTTTGATCATCCTCTGAGCGGACATCACTCATAGACTTACTCCTGCAAGAAAAACATTTAAGGTTACCTAGGATCACATGACCAAACTGAGGGCTAAAACTGGAAGGCTGGACTTATATTTGGAAATTCCATTTAAATTTCTGCTGTACTACCTAGACATTGTAGTGATAGTATCACAGAAATAGGGCTACACAGATACATGGTGTTTTTTCCAAAATGCAGAAACAAGAGCCTAGCACTAACCTTAAGTGTGAATTCTTTCACAAAATGACTAAATTAATCAGGCACAAGTCTGAACAAGTAATCCAATGTTCATATGTGGAGTGGTCAATGAATAAAGGAGTACTTTAGAAAAAAATAATTGCTAGTCACTAGAATCATCTGTCTTTATTGTTCTATCTTCCCCAAAGATAATCTTTTAAGGTTTGGCTGCCTTTTCTGGGCACTTATTAAATAATTTAATGATTACCTGATATTTTCTCCTCAAGTTGAATACTGTGAATAAATGTGCTGCTTCTTCTCAGAGACTGTATGTCTAAGGTCTGCCCCACCACTGCACTGGAATTGTTCTCCAAGCACCACAGGTAATTGCTAATAGCCAGCCATAATAACCTGTATAGCCCTCTCTTTTCATTAATGCAACTTCCATGTTTTCACACATAATACCTGCAGCAAGTAAGTACTGAGGATTACCTCTTGAAGAGTTCAGTCTAGAGTTGTTGTTAGCTGCTGTCGCGTCAGCCCTGATTCATGGTGTCCCCACACACAACAGCAAGACCGCTGTGATGCAAAGGGTTTTCACTGGCTGATTTTTGGAAGTAAATCACTAGGCCTTTGATGCTAGTCCTCTTAGTCTGGAAACTCTGCTAAAACCTGTTCAGTATCACAGCAACACACAAGCCTCCACTGACACAGGGGTGGTGGCTGCGTGCAAGGTACGTTTACCAGCGATCAAACCAGGACTCCCACATGGAGGATGAGAATTTTACCACTGAATCACCAATGACCCTAATCTAAAGTAGAAACCAACGAACAGAGTGGGGTGCTGAACGCAAGGCACGTGTGAGCTGTCTGCGTGCACTCAGAAGGGGAAGATAAGATGCACCGGGAGAGAAGGGGTGCCTCCTTCCTGGGCCCCTAAATTTTGCCTTTTCCAAGGTTTTTTGCCATCATCACATTATCTCTTCTTTTGCAACACATTTGCCTTTAGCTAGCTCAGGAATTCAATTATCACCTTTATGCAAATATCCCCAGGTCAGGACCAGCCCTTCCTTTGACTCATTTCCAATGGCTTGTTGAATAAACATCTCTGCAAGGACATCCCCCAGGCACCTCCATTTAACAGAACCAATTGAAATAATACCTAGAAAGGATTTTATAAACCGTAATTCACTAAACATATGGTTATTGTTTGATGCAGACAAACTGAATCTTGTCTCCAAACCTGCTTTTTCTCTTGTGTCTGTTAATGGTTATAACCTGCTCTCCCAATCACCCACATCTGAAACCTAAGGACGTTTTTTTTCACCCTAGTTTCTCTCTTCTCCCTACTTTCAATTAGTTATCAAGTCCTCTTATTAAGTGTCTTTTTCTTTCCATTTCTATTGCCAGCACCATAGATCAAAGCACAATCAACTCTTACTTGGACGTTCACAATAGCTTCTTAAATTATCACCCAGGCTCCAGAGCCAGTAAAGATCTTTTCTCAAATGGTCTCTCCAACTCAAAAGCCTTTCACCATCACATATACCTTTTAAAATGCCACTCATTCTTCAGGATCCTTGCTAATCTCTAGGCAGGTATATGTGACTTCCTAGTCATTGTCCACTTAAGTCTAACAAGTATCTCCAACTTCACTTGTCTCAGACCAAAAACATGACTGCTTACCCCACAACCTCCTCATCTCCGGTCTTTCTCATCTCAATAAAAGTCAACTCCACCCTTCTAGACTTTTGGCTAAAAATCTTGGAGTCATGGCTGATTGCTCTCTTTCTCTCATAGAATGCCAACAGATTCCACGAGTAAATTCTGTCACTCGATCTCCTAGCTATATGTAAGATGCAACCACTTCTTACCTCCACGATTACCATCCTGATCGAAGCCATCATCATCTTCTGCCTGGATTATTGCAATAATTGGCCTCCCTGCTTCCACCCCTTCCTGCCCAAGAGTTTGTTCTCAACACAGTAACCAAAGGGGTCCTTTAAAAACTTCCCTCAGATCATAACACACTTCTCCTCAAGACCCACCAATTTCTTCCCATCTCACTCTGGTTAAACACACGTTCTCCCAAGACCTTCAGGTCCTGCATTATCTGTCTTCTGCCCACTTCTCGGAGCTCATTTCCCACCATGCTCCCCTCTACTTACTCTGCTCCAGCCACACTGGCCTCCTCACTGGTGCTCAATGCACTTGCTTCTTCCCTTGCTCCTCAATCTGCCTGGAATCCTCTTCACCCAAATATCCACATGGCTTGTCTCACCTCTAGCTGTATTGTTCAAATGTTAACTCAGTGTTTCCTTCCCTGACCACCCCAGAAGAAACAGCAAATGCCCCTTTCACCCCATCCCTTTCTCTCTTTTTCCCCCATAGAATTTATTGGAATTAAAATATATATTTGGAATAAATAAAGTATATATTTGAAATTGGAATATACATTTATTTACTTATTACCTGTATTGCCCTGTAAAAATGTAAAGCAGGAATTTTGTCTGACTTGTTCACTGCTTTATCACTTGGACCTAAAAGGGCACCCAGCCTATGGTAGATGCTCAATAAACATGTTAAATTAATGATCTAGGCAACATTCTACCACTTTGATAAAGTCTTCCTTGCTTTGCTTTGTCAACGTGGCCTTCTCCTTCTCTCAACTTTTCCAGTGCTTTAGCTGTATCTTTCTCATAGTGCTTAACACTCAATGTTATGTTATTCATACATCGTGTATGCATGTGTGTGTTTTGCTTATCTCCCTCACAAGTTTATGTTTTTGCTTGAGAGGAAAACACATTAGCATAGCACAAGGTATGCAGGATATACTCATTTAATATCAGCTGTAAGAATAAAACATATTTTATCATATTTAATCAAGGGACACACACTAAATCTGAAATGTTTCCAATTCTTTTTTGGGAGGTAAAATATTATCTCCCAAAAAAGTTCACAGAAAAAGCTTATAAAGACATACATGGGAATATATATTACATGGGATATATACTGGCAAAATATATATCTAAATATGACTATATTTAAAATTGATTCATGTTAATTTGAGAATATAAATTTACTTAAGTCATAACTGAAAAGTGAGATTATTTGAGCTAATACTACAATTGTTGTTGTGTGCCGTCAAGTCGATTTCAACTCATAGAGACCCTATATGATAGAGTAGAACTGCCCCATAGTGTTTCCTAGGCGGTAATCTTTATGGGACCAGATTGCCAAGACATTTCTCCCAGAGTGGCTGGGTTCAGCCACTGACCGTTCAGAGTCAGAACCGACTCAATGGCAACTGGTGGTGGTAGTGTGATGGAAAGCCTGAGTGCATTCCAATGCAGGGCAGAGCCAGGTACCAGGATGGGACAGGAAGGAGGACTCCAGCCCTGACTGTGGTATTAATGTTCATCATGATCTAATATGCATCACTTAACTTCTCTGAGCCTCATTCTTCATTTGCTGAGGAAAGGAATGTTATGAGACATGGATAAGGTTATGTTGATTGCATTTCATAAAATCACCCCGTGCTATATACCAACAATTATGGTTAAAGCAAATATGATTTGGTGGGATCTCCCAAAAGCTAACTCCCAAAGCTGTTTCAAATTAGTGAGGTCACCCCAGACCACAATGATAAAATCTAGAACATTTGAAGTCCAGGAGCCTTTCAGCTGGGTCATGAAGAATCCTTTCCTTATCAGAATGAACAGGGTAAAAACATTAAACTTTTGAGGACTTACTGTGTGCTAGTAACATTGCCAGGCAGTCTACATGGATTATCTCATTTAAGTGAAGCCCTAGACTGGCTCCACCACTCATGAGTTGCAGTACAGTGAATTACTTAATATGGCCCTTCTAGACATAGTCTTTGTAACTCCCACCAAATGACTGGGTGGGACTAGGCAAATGAGATGCTTGTGGCCCACCAAGGGGATTGAACGGTTTGCTAATAACGTAAATAAGGTGCATGGCATGCTTGTGGGGGTGGGGCTATGCAAATAAAGTGTATCAAACCCTAACGAGAGGATTGGTCAGTTATGCCATCCCGCTAGGCTTAATAGAGAGTCAATTCCAGAGCAGAGAGGGGTCCTGACTACCACCAAGAAGAAAAGACAGGAGCAGGCTGTGTCCTTTGGACCTGGGATCCCTATGCTGAGACCCTCCTAGACCCAGGAGACAGAGAGAGAGCTGTAACACTGAAGACAGCAAGAGACGGCAAGAAGCAGTGGCAGAGAAATGGTGGCAGGAAAAACAGCTGAAGCAGACTGGCAGGAGACAGTATGGTGAGCTTCCTTGCCCACACAGTGAGACAGTTGAGTGCCTTCGGGGTGAAGGTGTGTCTGACCTCTGCCTCATAGAAATCAGCCTTGGACTATTGATCTTGATTCTCCTTTCTCCTTGTGAAGTTAGAGGAGGTCAGACACCCCCACTTGCCATTTTTATGTGAGTTGTGTGTCCTTGGGAAATCTCCATTTCTGTTTCTCTATGTCTCTAAAATGCAGATAATACCTACTTGACTGTCTCACAGAATGGTGATAAGCACCAGAGATAGCACCAAGAACACTGTTTGGGAAAATGATAAAGCTCTAGTATGTTTTGTGGAATGAGTTACTATTCACTGGCAAATCACATCATAATTTCCTTACACTATTCATTTACCCGCTACATTTGTGTTTGCTTATTTGGAGAGGCTCCAATTTCGAACTGCATTTGGATTTTTTTCAAAAATACAAGTCTAATGCCCTGTAATTTCAGTTGAAAAAAAATTGTTTTTAATAGCAGTTAGGGTGGAGACAGGAGGGAGGTGAAAGTTTAAGGGAAAAGGTGTGGATCATAAATCAAGATCACTACAACTCTTTTACTTTCTCTTCCCACTATGCTTATTACCTACTACTCTCCTGGCACTTTTTGGCTAGTGTTACGGTGCATCTTATTTTAGAACCAAACATAACTAAGGTATAAGGGACCAAAAAGGACCAAATGTAGTAAATAATCCTAAATATAAAATCACTGTTAGCCTTACACAGCAAATAGAAATTCCGTAATACTAAGATCTGGTCTCCAACTTTCAAAGACAGATATGAATATCTTTATGTACCTCTAAATACATTTCTGTTAGGTATTAGAGAAACTCCTTGAAGAGACACCAATGCCAAGGCCTGGGTAAGAGGCTTTGGAATTAGCATAAAGTATAGAAAGATTAAAAATACAATGGAGACTTTTATCTATAATCTTAATGAGGGTTTCCCAATGGCAGCACTACTGATATTTTGGGCTGGAAAACTCTTTGTTGTGAGGTACTGTCCTATGTATTGTAGGATGTTTAGCTCCATCCCTGGCCTCTACTCACTAGATGCCAGTTGCATGCTCTCACACACACACACACACACACACACACACACACACACACACACACACACGAAGAGTTCTAACAAACAAAAAAGTCTCCAGACATTGCCAAATGTCCCCAAGAATGCAAAATCCTCATACCCTCTCCCATTCTGAGACCCCCCCCCCACCTGGTCTAAACATTTGGATTAGAATGGCAGAACACTAAAACTATAGTATAAACCTACACTTCTTGCTGATTTCATCAGAAAATAACTCGCATCAACTTTATTTTCCCTTCTGTTTTGTTATCGTATATGTGTTTCTTTTTCTATAGAATCTTGTAGTCAACAACACATAAGTGAATATAGACGTTTTAGCTGTCTTTGATTATAACTTCACCTGGAATCAGTGTTCATTTCCTGTTGATACTGGCAGCAAATGCAATGGCTTAATCATATTACAAGATAATTTCTATATACCCTTACCACAAAATTTTTATTTGTTGCTAATAGTTTCTGCCAAAAGGCATCATTTCCAAATTTTCAAATTTCCTGGAACCATCCAGACATAAACTCATGCAACACAAGAGCATGCACATGTGAAATGACTGCCACACATAAAGCCTCTTACTAAAAATAAGCAGGCAAACTGACAAGCGTTAAGTGCCAAATAAAAAGCCAGCTAGAAATTAACAATCCAAGACTTCAAAAGATATTGCACATTTCTCTTTAACATGATCCTTACTACCATAAAGAAAGTATTCATGCTATAGGTGGTTATTTTTCAATTACAGGATGTTGAGCAATAATGCTTTTCCAAGTAAGTATTCCAAGCTTGATAACATACATTATAACCAGAGAAATATCACCCAACATAAACATGAAACAAGTTCTAGATTAAAAACCTACACTTAAGTCAATTTAAATTTACATTTTGTTGTCACTGCAAGATAAATTTAAGGAAAGCATTGGTAACTGATAGAATACAGGAGGTGAAAACAACCCCTATTTGATAGATTTTGATTTCAAGTGGTCTAAAACACATTTGAGTTTTCTAAAGGCACACTTGTATTACTTTCCATTATTTGACAAGTCATGCATTATTCATCAGTCTCAATTTACAATCTTGCTTTATCTGTGCAGTTCCTTTGACCCTAAACTGCATGGGGAAACAACGGCCTTTAAAAACAAATACTGTACTATCCAAGCAAGAATCTCAATATAGTCCACATTTGCTGCTGCTAGCTATAGTCCAGAAAATATCCTTAGCTTTGTCAGCTTTGGCATTTGGGTTTTTCTTTTTCTTTTCATAACCCAGTCTTACAATGTATCCCTCACTAAGGGGAACATGAACAGTCATTGAAATAGTTGTACATGTTTACATTCCCTTCAGGGACTTGTACTCAGAGAAGTATCCCCTTTAAGCATCTATTACTGATATCTGTTTACATCATAAAGTCATATTTCATTTACAAATAAAATTCTTTAAAAGTTATCATTCAAAATACTTAAAGCTGCAGGCAGATTTTTAATCAAGTTAAAACAGCTTTCCCATGATGAATAAAGGCCAGTTTTGCTCTATAACATAGCTTCAGCATCACACTGAAAGCTCTCGTTCACCCTCACTGACGAAAAATGCTTTAAGCGCATGACGACACAAATAGGGATCATGTGCCTTTTTTTGGTGTGTTGAAAGAATGCTGTGAGCTCACTTTTAAAAATCAGTGACTGAGAAGCACTTAAAATTACTAGATGCACATGGCTCAATTAAACCTTTGACATGTAGAATGCTTATAATGCTTTAAATGGTAATTTCAGTATCACCAAAAGCTCTGAATAGGAGCCCTGGTGGCTCAGTGGTTAAGGCTCTTGGCTGCTAACCGAAAGGTCGGCGGTTCAAATTCACCAGCCTTTCCGGCGGAGAAAGATGTGGCAGTCTGCTTCTATAAAGATTACAGCCTTGGAAATCCTATGGGGCAGTTCTACTCTGTCCTATAGGATTGCTATGAGTTGGAATCGACTTGACTGCAATGTTGTTGTTTTTTTTTATTTTTAAGATCTCTGCACTGTATCAAAGTTAGAGAATCTTAGAGATGAAATAAATCCTGCTAGGGGTAAGAAGAAGAAACTTAGCTACTAAGGCTTAAGCATGTCACGATACTTGACATACTTAAGCTCTCCTCCTCTTGCTCAAAAAATATTATCAGATTCAAAAAGTTACAGAAAGTTTGTTGAAAGATATTATGATCAACATACGCCTGGCAATTTTACACTGAGAATGAATGAGTCTATATACTTAGCGGTGATTAGTGTTTACTTTTAACTCTCCCAATTATTCTAGTAAAGAAAAACATTTCCAAAAAGTTCATTTTAAATTATAATGTATTATGTCTACCAGATGACTAAAATCAAGTAATTGTTAATTAACAATTAAAAATACATCACATGCAACAAAAATACTGGAAACTATCAGTATATTTAAATTTGGAAGGCCAATTTTGCTCTATAACATAGTCACGTTATAGCTTTTACCCTAATTAGGAATCTTAAAAATGTTTCAAATGCCACCAGAGGAAGATTAATGTCACTCACCATCCCCATTAGAAAAGTGCTTTATCAGTTAAGAGTACATGGACATTGCCAACCACATGTATATAACCTCAAAGTAAATGCAAATATTCTTTTTCCATCATAGATTTTCTAAAATGTACTTATTTGTGTTTCAGCATCCAGAACTCAAAATAATTTTAATCCATCTAGCCATTCAAATACCAAAAGAAATATATCTAACCTTAGGCAAGTGCTTCTGTTATCTTTAATCAACTCCTTCATAAATAAAAGAAAATGCTTTAAAAAAAACCATGGAACTGAATTTTAAATTTCTGATAAAATAAAAACTACTGCTGTCTTATAGTACTTCATGCACTGGGCATTCAGACACAAAAACACTACCATTAGGTTGCCAAAAGTAAGAAAAATTTCCCAGGTTTTAAAATCTCATGCATAGCACACAGCACCCCCACTTAGTGGCATGCCAGAAGAGAAATGCAGTAACGCGTTACACAAAGGACGAACAATATGCAGAGATTTTTTTCTTACTATGAACTATGAAACTTACCCATTCTCACCATAAATCTTTTGAAAAAGTCTGAGAAACCAGAAAACCAAAAATTAAAAAGTCATTTTTTTTCCAGTTATGTTAGTTTCTAAATGTTCAAAGTCTTTAACTAGAGACGGACAAATCTCAAAAGGTTGTTTCTTCAGCCTCATTGTTGATCGTGTTCCAAGTTCCTACCAAGGTTACATCTCAAGGAATTCAGACTTTAGCAAGATGCAGGGTTCCTCGATTTACTTTGAACCAACAGATCCATAAGAAAAGTTTGGCTTCCTGTTTTCAGGAACCAATAATAAGTTAGATTTGGGTCTACTAATTTTATTCAACCTAATCACATTTGTCCATCCTCAAGTTCAACAAACTGAACATCAATCAAAAAGGCAAGTTGTTGAACACATACATGCAGACTCAGTTATTATCAAAATGACCATAATTACACTCATGTGAAATTCATGCATTTTAACATCCATGTTTGCACTGAACTTTCAATTATAAATAAAAACGAGTCAAAAATTGATGGTCAAAGAAACCTAGGTTAAAACCGTAAATGAAATTTGCGGTGTCATATTTTATGAGAAACCCATAAAATCAAACTTCAGCTAGGCTATTCCAGAAATGCTGAGACATGAGAATAAGTCTTTAAATGTAATTGCAAAACATGTTCATGAATCCTCATGGCAGAATAGTACCATAATCTTGGTTAAGGCTAAAGGCTAGATTTGTGTACACACCTTTCTCAGGCCTAACATAAGTGAATGTAAAGATGTACAAATACGGAATTGCACTTTTTCCATGAAATGATTAAAGGTTTCTCAAAGCAAAAAAACAAAAACAAAAACAAAAAACGTCTACAGGATGCTTCAAAACGGCATGTGGCATGCACGGTCAAACAATAAGATGCTGCTTTCTCTCACACGAGAAGTTACACAAGACCAGACTCCTTGCAGAAACAAACTCTGACCTCTCAACCATCAGCCGTTTCTTGTGCCTAACTCTGCTAGCCTCCCGGATGGCCTCCCACTTCTGCAAGTCGGCCTCACTGCAAGGACCAGGCATGAAGCTGACTGGAGGCACAGCAGTTCCCAGTTTCCAAGACTGGATCTTTCGGGTCAACATGTCATCTTTCTTTTGCCGATAAGCAGGTACTAATACTCTACAACTATTACTTTTTTCTTTGGATGGGCATGTCCTTTCAAGTACACAGAGAAATTTTGCTTGAATTTCCGGAGGAAGAGTCCAAGGCTCAGGAAAAGGTACTGGCTGGTATCTGTCAGGAGCCCCCGACAGAGGCACCTTTTTCTTCTGCGCTGGAATTCGGCGAACAATCATATCATCTTTTTCTAAATCTGGAAGTAGAGGTTCACCTTCTCTGCACTGCAAAATTATATCCCGCTCTACAGGATCATCTTGCTCAGAAAACCTTCTAAAATCTTCAAAAGCCTGGAGAACACATGGATTTGCATGGAAAGCCCCAGTCTTCCTAACAAAGAAATCATCATTCTCTAAGTCAGGATCCAGGGCTGACATGTCTAGGTTGTCTCTTCTATATCCTGGTGCATGAGAGAGATTCTTTCTGCGTGTTATGAGTCTTGGACCAGAAGTAGGATCAATTCTGATATTTGTTTCAGAAGATAAGACGTCATCAGAGTATGTCTGAAGGGCCTGAAGTAATAAAAACTGACTGAAGCACAGAAAAGAAAAAGGAAGGGAAATCTTATTAAGTTTGGGGAGAATACATACTTAGGTAGCAGAACAACTAGCCAGTCACTCTGGGTGAATTATTTTATAGAGTCATGGGAGGGACTCTGGCTTGGAAAAAAGACTAGCATTTAATGCTATCACCAGTGACTTTTCTAGATATCATTTAGAATAATAAGAACAGACTGTATTTCTCAGGAAAGGTGGGCATTAGCAAGGCTAAGGGATGGGGCTAGAACATGGATCAACCACAAGTCCTTAATACACATACCACACTTCCTCTTGTCCCTCCCTCATTCTGCTAGCCACAAAGACCTAATTTCCCTCCTAGAAAAGCAGCAAGGATAGATCTTGAAGTTTCAAGAGTTGGGCATCATGCAATAGGCACATGTAGTCAGCGAACAAAGGAAGAACTGCTCTGGTGTATCTTTTCTTTTCTTTGCATTGCTCTTCATTACTTGCCCTTCCTAGTATCGATCTACAAGTTATTTCCTTTCTCCACATCTCTTTAGAAAGTCTTTTAGAAATGGTTTTCCAGAGAACCGACAATTATGTCACATGTAAGTATACACTGTCTTGCACACTATCGTACTAAATAAAATGTTTAGTCCTACAAACTTCCAAGCTTCCATGCTCACACAAAAAGCATTGCTTTATACATTATGCTTTTATACTAAATATATTAACTGGGTAGGATTTCATGGCTCAGCTCTGGCAGGTCATAGGAAAGCGTGTTAACGCAGCAGCAGCAGCAGACGCGGGCAGATGTCTGAGGCCAGGCTCCAAGCAGGCGGCTCATGCAGACAGTCCACCTGGGCTCATCCGAGGCACCCCTGGGGCTCCTGGCTGCATGTGCGTTCTGCGATTTTATGGCCCGTTTGGTAGCTAGTTCCAGTACAAGTGAACGTCTTTGGCAGTTGCCGTCTGGTCTATGCTCTGCTTTTTGTATTTTACTAAAAATCGCAGAGCTTTGGTTAGAGCCTGAGTCCTCATCCTCGGAGCCTGAATTCCTTCTACTGTGCAGTGATACGGAGAAAGGAAGGGGAGAGTAAGGGGGACGAAGAACTGAAAAATAAAACCACTAAAAATAACGCCAAACTATAACTATGTATAAAGAAAAGGACTTTTTAAGGTCTAGATCCTAAAGTTTAAATTTAAACAGCAATTCTTTTCAGTTACAGACATTCCAGGGAACATTAATTAACCTCTTTCTCTCTCTTAAAAGATGTACCCAGCTGGGGTATTGAATAAACACCAGGACAACGGAAACATGCATGAAGAAGACAAACCTGAATCCCTGAAATTCCTTATACCATGGTTTATAAGTTTCCCTTTTTATTCTTTTCCAGTTCACATCTTCTAGGGTAGAACATTTGGGAAGAAACCGATTGAAAGTATTCACTGGGTTTGGCATGACAGGACTTAGCCTTCGCACATAAAGATCATCCTTAACAATGTTGGGTATGCTTGTTGTCTTTTCTTCTTCCTCTTCCAAATAACAAGAGGAATTTGAAGTTTCTTGTACTGTTGACCAGTTCTCCACATTTGTGCCCCAAGTCCTCCTCTGGTTACTGTTCAAAACATCCAACCAGTTAAGATACTGTATGAGCAATCTGTCACACAGAACACAAAAGGCATGCTTTCTGGCTCACATTCACGCCACTGTGAATGAAGCAAATTAGTTCCCATTCTCATCACCACAGCTCCTACAACAAAGTTAGGGCACCGTACCAGCATCTCATTTTAATGGGACAACAGCTAGATACACCACAAAGATATTCAGTTAGAAGCTGTGTTAAAAGAAGGAGACAAACTGCAAACAATTTGAGGTGTTACTTTCTGTAGTATTAAAATCAACAGCATAGTAGATATCCAGACCCAGGAGAGATATTCCTGACCTCGTCAGCTCGTACAGTCCAGTGGCTAATGAATCAGCAGGAGAAAATATTTGTGAGTAAGAGTTAGGAGAGATGGTTTTCGAGATGAAACTCTCGGGCTGCTTTTTCACCTGGAATCTACAGTTGGCTAAGTCATCCAAAATTACGTCAGGCAACCTTCGTTGATCCTCAGAGTCCAAATCACTCTCAGAATCACACACCTCCATCTGCCAGAATGCTGGATTTGAAAAAGCACATTCTGCTCTGCTAATTTGATGGGAAATTAGAGGAGCCTTTTTGTGTCCACTGAGATCAATCAAGACCAGAAAAAATTGGAAGAAAATAACACAGCAGAGCTCACAGTGAATATTATAAGTCATCCCGTATGCTGAAAAGATATATCAATAAGCTGAAGGCATGCATCTAAAAAAAAGAACTGGTAAACTACATGCAGACATTTCACAGTGGAAGAAATATCTGCAAGATGTGTATGACTAAAAATACAGATAGGAAAAAAAAAATTTTCATTAATGGAATTTAATATATTATCTATGAAATGCATTTTAAAAACTTATTGTTTTTACTACATTTAAATATCCCACCCAATTCACAAAGCATGCCGAAATTTTAAAACTTAATAATCAGATGGCACCCCAGTACCTTGAAAATGTTCCATCTGCATCTGTATAGACCGGGCTTGCCCAACTTCTTCTGTTATCCTCATTTCTGTCCGGCCTTTTCTTCCTCAAGGGCGCTGGCATGTAGGATGGCTGTCTACTTTTGTGGGGTAAAAAACGATTGAATGGTAAAGCAGACTTCGGTTCAACAGCCGAAATCCTTCGGTATGACATATCATCTTTGTTATAATCCTGCATTTTGAACGTAAATTCAGAATCTGTGTCACTTTCGCAACCTACAAAAAAGGCACAAGAATTTGCTTTACTCGCCAGATTCTTCATCTAACTGAAACCCACACACCCTGCCTGCTTTGTCTTTCCCTTGGAAACCCAGTGCTGCTACTGCTAACTGCAGGGAATATTTTTAGAGATTTGTCATGAAGTTGTGATAAGATCCCTTAGGAGGAACTTGCTTTTGCACACTAGAGGCACACAGGGTATTCTTTTGCTGTGGCACAGTCTAAGCAGATAAAATGCCCCATTTACTGCTGAATCCCCTTTTCTTCTCAATCTTCTGGGTGCCCATAATTTTTCATAAAATGTATTGATGTAATAAATGTGAATAAAATCCAGCAATTAAATCACAGACACTTAAAATGGGACACAAAAATAATTCCAGGGAAACTCAGTAATTTAAAATACAGCATCCAACGAATCCAAAATGTAGGCGAGAGGAGAGAGAGGGAGAGCAGAGGAGAAGCAAATGCACACGATCACAGAGGGGCTGGTAGATCTTTGTGAGACCCCTACAAACAAGATTCACATGTTAGACATGAGGTTGGGCCAGACAACTTCTAAGTCCCAAAGGAATCTCAAGTGATGCCTACACGAGAGCACAGGACTTAAGGCTTTTGACTGAGTCCATGGAAATTAAATTGGGCACCTTGTATTTTGACCCAAAATCACTTAAACACAAATCAAAAGAACACCTTTGATATACCAAAGGTCAGACAGATAAAAATACTAATCTGCTATCTTAAAACAAAAACAAGAAATCTCTTTTAAAGGCACAGGAAGAAAGGACTATAGAAAACATCACTACAGAGCCAAGCTGAGTTCTGTCTCTCTTCCTGCCCTTCTTTCCTTCCAGCCTCTTCTGCAAAGCTTTGCAAACAGTGCTAGTTTCCCACCAAGGCTCTCTCAGAGGCTGCCTGTGTGCAGTTACCTGTCAGCTACATGCTCTCAGCATGTCCAGCACCTGCAGGGTTAATCTAACCTAAGGGCAATCTGGTCTCCTCCTTCCTGCCTGGCAGGAATCTATAGTAAATAACACTGAGAAGAGTCTACAGGAAGTGGCTTAACGTACAGCTTCCAGACAGGGCCAGGAAAGGAGGCGTGTCAGGGTAAGAAGGGAGAAAGTACAAGCAGTTATGCCTAGGAGGATTAGCAGCCAAGAATCTGCTGCTGTATTTGTTTTCACCACCTCCTAAATAAAACAGGAATTTCCGTCTTATTTCCAATAAATGTACTAATGATTTTTCCCAAAATTTGCACGTGTGAAATTTTTAATCTCAAATAGATCATTCTACTTTTGCATTTTTAAAGTTAAAATCTTTTTGGGGGGCAGGAGGGACTTCTGGTACAATGCCCCACACAGTAGGCAAATATCATCATTCTTGATAAGAGATTTCACATAAAACTAAGAAATTTGAGTTTGCGATCTTGTTGTATACTATTAGTACTATCCTAAATCGTCATCATTTGGGACTACAATGTGGTGAGTAGCTGCAGCATTTTAATATACTAGTCACAGAAAAGCTTTCACATCATCCTGGTGGCCTACAGGCTGATACTTTTTTTCCTTGTCAGTTGTAATTACCAACACTTAACTTCTACATTCTGAACTCAGTCTGCAACTCCTTTCCCAAGATCAGGAAGCAGGTGACAGTGGTCCTCTGCTCTATGTAACATGTACCAAGCATCCAAAGAGCCCTAGTGGCACAATGGTTAAGCATTTGGCTGATAACCGAAAGGTTGGCAGTTTTAACCTACCCAGCGGCTCTGCGGGAGAAAAACCTGGCGATCTGTTCCCGTAAAGATTATAGCCAAGAAAAGCCTATGGGGCAGTTCTACTCTGTCACATGGGGTCTTTATGAGTCGGAATCAACTCAGCAGCACTCAACAACAACAATACCAGGCACCCAATTCAACAAGTACCTGAGATGAGGACTTAGATTCCACACCGTTTGACCACTGCATTTGAACCGATTGAAGCTTGTGTATTCCCACATGCCCTCAATCTTCATCCTTTTTATTGTTTGTTGACTGGATACAAATTTATTGCATGTTTCATGTTCTTCAGACAGGACAATGTAGTACAGCGGGTTGAGAATTTCAGCCTCTGCCACATCTTTCTCCCACAGAGCAGCTGGTGGGTTTGAACTGCCAATCTTTTGATTAGCAGCCAAGCACTTAACCACTACACCACCAGGGCTCTTTTAATTTTATTTACATTCTTTTTTACTTTTAGTTAGATCAGAAAATACAACCAAAAAAATCTGCTGCTGTTGAGTTGATTCCGACTCATAGCGACTCTGTAAGACTGAGTAGAACTGCCCCAGAGGGCTTCCAAGGAGTGGTTAGTGGATTCGAATTGCCGACCTTTTTGTTAGCAGCTGAGCTCTTAACCACTGTGCCAGCACGGCTCATAGGCACAGATTATTATGCCTGAGTCTGTAGAGAAAAACCAAGATATATTATCACTGATAAAACACGTCAAAGTCAACTTTCTCTTCTGTCTTCTCCAAAAATGGAAGGGAGAAAAACACTTAGAAATGGAAACTATCGCCAGTATGAAGAAGGAAAAAATTAGCAAGAAGAAACCCCTAGTTACACTTGCATCTCTGTGAAATCCACTTCTTATATGAAATTTCTGCTTAAACAGTATTCTCTCCACTTTCCACTTCCTCCCATTCGCAATTTTCTCTTAATATGCAAACTCAATAGAAAAAACCCACGGCCACAACCCCACTCACCTTCACGGCCCCCTTTCAAGGTGATATCTGAGGAGTAGCTTGTGAATGATCTAGACCCTAAGGAATCCAAGCTCTCAAAGGAGTCTTCTCTCTTATGGCTGCCTGCAGGAGTAGGAAATTCTCCGCGCTCGGTACACCAGATGTCACTGTAGCCACTGTCCCTGCCACTTCTTTTCAGACTGCTGGAGTCTTCGAGCGCCTATAAAATGTTTTTCATAGAATAGTAAATTAGCTTAAACTTCTAAAACATTAATCAGCCATTACTTGTTTGTCTGCATAGCTCAAGTCTGGCTTCATCTGGTAGATAAGGCAATGAGATTTCCCTGCTGAACATCAGAAAAAAGCTGATAAAAATCAGAAAATAAATCTGTTACGGTTTGTCCACAATTAACACCTTGGCACTCATGTAACAACAAGGAAGTAGTCGATATTACTAAATAAAGTAGCATTCTCTATTTAACAATAAAGAAGGGGGAATTGTTTAATAAAATAAAAGTTAATAATTAGAATAGCATCGAAATGCTAAACTCAACAATTATTTACAGTCCTCTGGCAATAAACATGAAAGGAGTCAAGAAGAAAAATCAATCTTAATTTAGACATCCAAAAGGAGATAAGTCAATAGGATTACATTCAGCTTACTCCAGAAAGTACTTACGGTGGTTTATACTAAACACAAAGCCATAATAGTTAAAGATCTTTTAAAAAAAATAAGGGCTGGGATAGCAGGCAAACACTTGAGAAGATTCATTTACTTTCACTGATTTCTAAACCTAGACCTGAACTGCTGAAAGCTGGGTTGTATTCCTTATTGAATCCAGGGACACAGACTTGTTTATTGATATATAAAACCTATTTTCCCTGGATGCAAATACAATGCTTGGCTCATATAATGGATACATAGAAATTTGGTAAAACTTATTAACCATAGGTCTGTAAACTACATAAGCCAAAAAACCAACCCATTGCCATTGAGTCAACTCTGACTCACAGTGACCATATAGGACAGAATAGAGCTGCCTCACAGAGTTTCCCAGGCTGTAATCTTTATGGAAGCAGACTGCCACATCTTTCTGGTGGGTTCAAACTGCCAACTTTCCAGTCTACGGCTGAGCACTTAACCACCGCACCGCCAGGGTCTTTTGTAAACTACATAGAACTTACTCAAAATAAGAATTTTTTAATTAACATTCCTCTAGGAAAGTTAAGGAACCCTGGTGGTGCAGTGGTTAAGAGCTCGGCTGGTATTCAAAAGGTCAGCAGTTTGAAACCAACAGCCACTCCCTGGAAACCTTATGGGGCAGTTCTACTTTGTCCTATAGGGTCACTGTGAATCAGAATCAACTTGATGGCAATGGGTTTTAGTTTGGTTTCAGATGAAAGTTAAAGGCAAAACTTTATAATAGAACATTTTAAAATTAGGATTCAAGTAAAATTTATACAGCCCTTGTCATGGATTGAATTATGTCCCCTCAAAATATGTGTCAACTTGGCTAGACCATGATTCCCAGTATTATATGGTTGTTCCATTTTATGATCTGATGTAATTGTACTATCTGTTATAAATCCTAATCTATGCTTGTGGTTAATGAGGCTGGAGTAGGGTGAGATGCAACACCCTTAGTGAGGTCACAGCCCTGATCCAATGTAACAGGAGTTTCCCTGGGGTGTGGCACCTGCATTACCTTTTATCTTACAAGAGATAAAAGGAGAGAGAAGCCAGCAGAGAGAGCAAGTTGACTACCACCAAGAAAGAAGAGCCAGGACGGAGTGTGTTCCTGGATCTGGAGTCCCTGTGCTGAGAACTTCCTAGACCCAGGGGAAGATTGATGCCAAGACACATGTAGATCTCTGAGGAACACTGGGCCCGCAGATCTTGAAAGGAGACAAGGACCATCCCCCAGAGCCAACAGAAAGAGAAAGCCTTCCCCTAGAGGTGGCACCCTGAATTCAGACTTTTACCCTCCTAAACTGTGAGAGAATATATTTCTGTTTGTTAAAGTCATCAGCTTGTGGTATTCCTGTTACAGCAGCACTAAACGACTAAGACAGCCCTTAACATAGCCCTGACACATGGTAATCAATTAATATCTATAACTATATATATGTATTTTTAATACAGTGTAGGTATTTTGTCATGATAGTAAAAAATCAAGAATGCTTTTTTTTCAATAAGCTTACTAATACAGAGACAATGTAAAGGATCTAGGAATTTTTAACAACCAAATCA